ATTGCAGAAATGAATATAACTATAAAATTCGTCAAATACCACATACGCCACCATATGCTAATTTATTAACGCCATTTAATCACAACATTAAAATAAAGATGATTTAAAGATCTAATATATATATATATATATATATATATATATGTATATGTATATATTTATGCTTGTATAATATATTTATTTCTCGATGAGTTATTGATTTTGCAAATGGAAGCACTTAAATATACAATGATTCAAGATGGCGCAATTTCAAACTGGAGGCGTTTGAATGCGTTTGTATTTTTATTAAAATATTTTATATTCATCAATTCGTTCCGCAATTTCATTTTGTTTGGTTCTTTACAGCAGCAGTAGCAGCAGCCGGCGTTTTCGAAAATTCAACGGAATTAATTAGCGAAAATTCGCACAATGAAGCCTTGCGTTTATTCTGAACATTTTATTCAGCGAGCGACTAATTGATTTTCAATTCTTTACATTGGCAAATGAAGAAGATAACATTATTCCCTTGGATAGATGTGAGAAAGGCAACTGGAAGAAAAGTGGCGACTAATCATATGCCGGTGGGAAGCAAACAAAATCAAACTTAAACCGTCATCATTATTAACTCTCTCATTATTCTATTACAGTCTCTTAATTTCTGTTGGCTGCCTTCATTGTCGCAATCACTTTTATTTGGAGAGGAAGTTAGAGAACAATGCCATTCCTAAGCACTTAACGGAGGCCGACTTAATTTGAACGAATTTAAAGCCATACCAAAACGATTGATGCTTTCAATGGTAACGAAACGAAGCAGCAAACCGTTCAACTAAAAAGGCTATGATTAATTATGCAAAATCAAAGACATTTCTATTGCTGAAAGTGTTATAAATATTTATAGCCTTAATAGACGATGACTCTATTTGCGGCTGCATTCTAGGTAACTAGTTAACTCTGCATACTGTTTTCTCGTTCGTTTGAAACAAAGATAAAATGGCTCAACTGCTATGTAATGTCGATCCTCCTAGATGGCAGGGAATGATGAATAATTTCCTCACAGTTGAAAAAAGAAGCTTCAGGTAACAGATATATGTTTACACAGAAGAATGCCACCGACAGAACATGTCAACAACGAGTAACTTTTAAGGAAAATAGATATTGTCTCGGATTGAATTCACTGCTTGAGTTCCTTGCCTTTGAAGCGGGTTTTTCTGTTTTAGTCCATATTCAAGCAATTAAATGCGGAAAGAGGGCTTAAAGGATAAAATACTCACGGGGCCTACTCAAGGTAAGAA